GTAACGCTATGTAACGAAAGTAACGCAAAAACTGTTTATTTATTTTTTGTTCGTTTTTTTTTTTTTCCATCAAACAGAGAGTAAAGTCTAAAGATGCACCTTCAAAGGCATTACGGAATGCGCTATGGCACCACAAAAGTGTACCTGGACAGGTTTGTTTTGAACTATATTACAAATAAAACTGCAAAAAACTTCTTATTTATGACCTTAAAAATACTTAATTTTCAGACCAAAGTTTTGTGGGAGCAAAAAAATGGTCAAGCATGGCARAACAAGAGAGCATATCGATTTGAACTAAATTATACTCCTTCAAATGGATATCTGAGGTAAAAAACAAAAGTATTYGGAAAAATTCAAGCATGGTAACTTACGCATAATTTGTATCAATTTTCACTAGGCTGAAAATGTGGGATGGTGTACGAGGACTCATGGATACTGGGAGGCTGAGAGATGTTTCAATTCGTGGAGGCAGACTTGGATTCTACACMTTTTCACTGGCTAACATCATTTTTTCRGATATCTCAGTGCGATGTCTGGGTAGGTTATGATACTAAAATCATCATCATCGCTATAATCATCATCATAATCATTTACCGTGGTCCTTACTTGTGTTTCATAAGTAATAAATCATTTAACACCCTCTATTTTTTACCCCAAATCCACAGACAATGCATAATTTGAGATGCCTGCAATGGAGTCATATGATATTAGATGCAAATAGCTCTAGAAAAACATCACCACTTGGCTTCCACAATAGCTTGCTATACCTACAGCAAGACATCCAACGAATTAAATACATGTAGGACTCCACAGCACAGTACATGTACAATGGACAACAGAAATATATACAAATTGCAAAAATATGTATATAAAAAGCTGCCATAGAAGGAGAAATTCAAGGATTATAAAGACCAATGAATCAATAGAAAAAAATGGAAATAAATGGAAAAGAGAGAGATTCTTTAASAAAACCAAGTTTAAAACTCCAAGTGATTGTTGAGGAAACAGCTGACAATAATTCAAGAAAATGAAAATTCAAATGGAACTGTGCATGTATTACTAATAGGACACATCTATTGGTTTTAGTTTTACCAATAAATAGTAATTATAATTAATAATATTTATTCAAAATGTATACTCATTTGCAAATGACCAAGAGCTACCRATCAGTTTTCAATGTAATGATTGGCTAACTTTTTGTGCATCTGCCTTCTTAATACCAGATGAAATGCTGGCTAAACAACATCTGTGTGTAAAATGCTTTTGCATAAATGTAAAAACATGTAAACCTTTTTTTTCATGGCTGAATGCAAAGTGACTAATCTTGTGGGCTTGCAATCACATATAATTTCTAAAAAACATAAAATTTGTACATATGGTAGAAAATTGAACCAATGCTATCTTCAGAGGAGTTTCTATTATTGCACTTTAATGAGACTTTCATACTTTGGTGGAGTGRCCATGTACAAAAGAAATGGTACCTTCAAAAATACATTCAAGTAGATATAAAATGTGAAATTGGATTTTTTTTGGTTTTTGGATAATAGCTAAGTCTTTGAGTGGTGTTTTTCCATCTAATTTTGTGCGTTGCAGAGTCTCAGATTGGATTTTTGAAGTCTCACAGCCTTGATTTTGAATTCAAAAACCTTAATCTCATCATTCTCGGAAAATCTCCAAGGACCAATCACCATAAGGCATGTGGTCTGATTATATGAATTTATCGTTTCTTGGAACCTCATCACCATTTCTCTTGTACATAGTCACACAACAAGAATATCAAAAGTGGGCAACTGCATCAAGCAAATTCCCATGGAAAATATTTTGTTTCATAAATAAGAGAGAGAGCAAGTCTACAGAGATGTTAGGGTGAAATGCAAATTAAAAAACTATTTATAAAAAGAAAATGTTCAGTGTAGTTACTACTTAAACACATATACCAGTACATATAGCAATGGAAACCCGTAACAAGAGGACATTGACTCAAGCTTTAAGTACCAAACATGGTATGAGATATATATGCCAGATTTGAATGTTCTGGAACATAATTTGGCATATTAAAATTAAAATCGTTTGTGCATAACTCAAGAGCTTTTGCTGCTTTGACAGAGTTTCACAGATATCCCAAGTTGAATGATACTGCAAGAATCTTTGAAGTTGAGCAATCCGTACAGTTCATATACTCTTCAATTTAATCAATGTATTACCAACACTGAAGTGAAAAAACCTTGTACGACGTATAATGACAGAGACTTCAAATCCACATGCCACTAATATGTTTAGTTAAAACCAATTAGGTTTGAATGGGCACACAATTTCATTGTTCATAGTACTTTCACATAGTACAATGTATCCTTTATTGACAAATAAAAGATAAAACTTGTTTAACACATTCCTCGTTGATAGGTGGTAGAGTTTTTGATGCATCAATACTACCATAAAGTTTCCTGCTTCTTCTCAAAGCTTCATCTTCATCAGCATCTGGGTTGCTTTTAAAGAACTCCATTTTATCAGTAGCCCAAACAAAGTTTTTAATCCCATRATCTTCTTGTAAAGATAGYGTATTTAGCTGGTAACACATAAGAAGAACTTCTTTACCATTGGAAATGACACAGCGAGTTGTCAATGGTGTGGACAAGTGTTCACCTGCAAGTACCCCAATGCTCATGGCTTTAGAAGCAAGTACCCCAAACATTCCCATCATCCCATAGGAGTRCATTTGTTCATTTGTCTGGTTAGTGACGTCAGCAAGGAATAAAGTGTGGCAGTGCTGATATGGGTTTRCATTGTTGGGTTGGTATCCAGGAAAGTTGCGTAGGTGGACGATGGGATGCTGGAATAAATTTTGACTATATGGRTCRTARGGTCCTGGTAATGACTCTTGTGCAGTAGACTCCACATCTGTACAATACAAATAGAAACATTGTGGTAAATTATCCATAAAAAAGTATAAAATATGCCTTTGTTTATGAATTTATTGTTTTCTATATATTTAAAAATTTTTTTTTTTACTTAAATTTCTCATTCTCTAAATTTTCTTTGTCCTCATTCCTTTAATCTGTCATTAATGATTATTTTTACATCAGTCAATACTATTAAAAGTACGTACAAAATTTTATAGACTATCAGTATTGTAACTATAGTTGTTATTATTTTGATCAACGCACATTGTCCAAGTTATGACGGTTAAACATATACCTCTTAAAAATAATATTTAAAAAAAAAACACTTTTTCTTTCATGCAGATCGAGATATTTGGGTTACCTGTGGACTTACCGGGTKCATARACGTCATTAGGAACRCTGCTCCATAAAATCAAATCAGGACGATAGCACAGGTCATAAAATTCGTGATTCCTAACCCAATGTGTATGKATCTTTGGACTAAYATCCATGTAGCTATCTTTCAAACCAGGACTTTCGTGAGAAAATCCATAGCAAATTCTGAGCAGATTTTGAAAGACTCCAAGTCGAATCTCCTCTTCAAATCGAAGCTTGGTCTTCTTWAGCTCCTTTTGATACGCAATTTGTTGCAAAACAGAATCTCGAAAAACCTGAACATCCTCAGAAGATATGTTGAGCTTTGCTAAATTTTCGGGAAAGCCTTCCTTCATTATAGTTTTGGTCAGCCATTGATGTTTGAGAGAAGGTTGATAAGCTCGAGATTTGGGGTGAACAATTACAGCTTTCTTTATAGTATGATGGGCAACTATCACAGGTATACCAGTCTGYGTTTGCTTTCCATCTCTTTCAGCTGCTACCACTGATAACCGTCGAGAAAAGACATAAAATAGCTTAGAAGTTCTTGAAGAAGCACGTTGAAAAACCGCCATCTTGGATTCTGGTCAAGTGAGCCTGCTGTACATTTGGTGTATTTTTTCGTGACTAGGGAGGGGAGAGAGGGTATAATTTTTTTTTGCCCAATGTTATTTTTTGTCGTACAATGAACATATTTGGATTTTTCAGACTTAATTATTCTGAATGAAATTCAYATTTTAAATAGCGTATAAAATGAATGATTTTTCAGGATGTGCATTTGTAAAAATATTTTGTTTTATAGTTCGGAAGTCAAGCTGTGCCAGACGAGACGAGTGCTAGACGGGGGTTCTTTTGCTGACCTACTATTCTCCGGCCCAGGCCCATCTGACTTTCACGTGCTTTATCCAAGAAGATCAGCCGGCAAAATGCAGGAAACAAAACAGAAAACTCATGCTTTAGATCGCATTTTTTTTCGTCGATTCTGGTGCTGTTTGAAGGTCATCTTTCCCGCATGTCTTTCAACGACTGTTCTRTTGTTTATATTGTTGCTTGGCTTGTCTTTGGGCGAACAAGTGATGATCTACAACACTGGCTTGATTCCAAGTCAGTTCTACCAAGTACTCAGTKCTAGAGACAGTGAAGGATTTCGCTCACTCATTACTGTAGCTATTGGWTTYATWATCGGGACAGCACTAGGAAAAAGCCTYGTGCAATACATTGCTAATGTTTCCTATGTGAAATGGAGGGGTTTACTGACTGTCCATCTACACCGAGGCTACTTCAAGGATGACTCCTTCTACAATCTAAATCTTCTGGATAAAACTATCGACAACCCAGACCAAAGGATCACACAAGACATCGATCGATTCTGTAATCAGTTTAGTCAGATGATCGCATCATTGGTTATTTCTCCCTTCACAATAGCATACTATACCTATCAGTGCTACAACAGCGCAGGTTACCTTGGTCCATTAAGTATTTTTGGGTATTTCTTAGTTGGAACTATTATCAATAAGCTTATMATGTCTCCTATTATCACATTGGTTGTCAAGCAGGAGAAGCTTGAGGGAGACTTTAGGTTCAAGCACATGCAGGTATGTAGTAGTTACTTAGGGGGCTTTCATTTATTAGCTCATGGGGGTCTGGCAAAATTTTATACATCTGTCTGCAAACATTATATAACCACACCCAGCATGCTATAGACCAAATCACCCCCCCTCCCCCTTATAATACTAAGATTATAAGACCCCCCTCCACTACATAACAAGTATAAACATCTTCAAACACTAGCAAAGGTCTCAGTTTTAATGTCACATCATAGACCTTTGCTAGGTTTTAAATCAGTTTGAATCAATATGCAGACATGCACTTCATAGACTAGCCCTTCTTCTGTGTGGGATCACATTTCTTTCAATGCACAATGCATTTTTCAGCTTTTTTCCTAAAATGGTAACAATGTCTTCTAGAAGTCATTTATATGACTCGAGTTCGTGTTCCTGGCTGGGGAGTGGTGGCTGGGCTTTTTTTCCAATTATATTAAACTTATAATTTTGTTTCATTCAGATTCGAGTCAACTCTGARTCCTTGGCATTCTACAGGTCRGGGCAACTGGARGAGAAAAGAACAAACAAAAGACTGAACAATTTACTTGCWGTACAACAAAGATTGGTTAATTATGAATTCTTTTTGAACTTTTCGGTGAATTTCTTCGACTATATTGGTGCAATACTTAGCTATATCTTGATCGCTATTGTATTGTTTGCTGGAAAATATGATGGATTATCTACCTCTGCACTTACCGGAGAAATTAGCCGAAATGCYTTTGTGTCCATGTACCTGATTGGCTGCTTCTCTAAGCTGATTGATTTGTCCAACTCAGTTTCTGACATGGCGGGATATACTCATCGCATTGGGGAACTCATTGAGAACTTGAAAGAAAAATCCCAGAGGGATGAGTTTAATAGTAGTTGTTCTTCACTAGCAGTGATAAATACAGAATGCCTTTTTAAGCTTGAAGCAGTCTCGTATGCATCACCTAAGGCACTGAAACCACTGGTAAAAGACCTTAACTTAACCATAAATAAGGGTGAAAACATTCTTATAACAGGAAAAACAGGAAGTGGGAAAAGTTCACTGCTGAGAGTTTTGAGTGACCTGTGGAAACCAACRTCTGGACAAGTGCTGAGGAATTTAAGGCTAACTCCAAACAATGTTCTCTTCTTGCCTCAAAGGGTGTTGCTGTCAGATGGAACACTAAAACAGCAAGTTGTTTATCCATACGACACACCATTGCAACAAGATTACACTGAAAATGGCGAAGAAAAAAATGAYAAGATTTTGGCAATTTTRAATGATGTGGGTCTTTCTGGTGTTTGTGAGCAATTYGGGGGGATCAATGTCGTCGCAGATGGAAACTGGGAGGATATGTTGTCACCGGGTGAGATGCAGCGTCTGGCRTTTGCTCGGCTGTTTTATCAYAAGCCAGTCATTGCATTGCTTGATGAAGCTACAAGTGCCCTAGATGTGCCTACAGAGAAAACCATGTATGAAATGTGTAATCAACTTGGCATTACTCTTGTTAGTATTGGGCATAGAGAATCGCTGATTCCTTATCATCACATGAATTTGATGCTGGATGGAGAAGGGGGTTGTCATATTAAGTACCTTACTAGTAACTGAAACATTATAATCCCCCTATATTATTAGCCTGCTTAGCCAGGCATTATTAGACGCTGTAATAGAGAGGCTACTTAATTGTTCTCTAGGCTTTATTGGAAGGTAATTTTGTTCCTTTGTATCAAAGCAGTACATTAAATGTCTCTGTTTGGTTTGCTTTGATGCAAAGCCATGGCTACCTTTCAAGATAGCCTACAAAAGTGTGAAGAGAGTAATTGTGAACACAATTCAAATGATTCATGAAATTTCCCATAAAAAAGTAATTCAAATTTCTGTCCTCAAAGGACTTAGATATAACATTTTTTTTTCTCTACTTGACAAATAATCAWAGATTATGCAAATTTTTATAGATATATTTTTTAAAGTTTTTAATCATAAAAATATTTTCCTTTGAAATAATAGTATAGAGATTTAGTGCCATGGCATAGTTCATRGAGTATGGTTTAATTATTAATATTTATAGATTTATAACATCGGTTTGCAAATGGCTTTTCRCTACAGGCAGTYGGTTTGGGACCCATGTAATTWYTACAAACTAGCCCTAATAAATCAAAAGTTGCGTCGTTTTGTATTTGTTCCGTGTGTTGTCCATTCATTGTAATCCAGGGCACAAATTGATGTTGGGGCTGGAGAGCRTTAGTCTTAAGGGCCATTTCATGTTCCARCATGTTCCCTTGTGGCCCACTCTGGCATTTGTCAATTGAGTCRAARTCAATGCCTAGTTGGTTGGCGCACTGCTGTGCTGTCGAGCGAGGATAGCTCCCAATGTTCATCTCAAGGCAGTGAATGAAGGGCAGATAAGATGAGGTGTTTCTCAGGAGTGAAATAGCACAAGTCTCGATAAGGTTCCCCACACATTCTGTAGGACCATGTTGGCATACGTAGGTCCATTGTTCTCCGTTGCGGTATTCGTAAGCGTTTCCGTAAGGAACGAGCGTTACGTCCATGATACCTCCGACCTTATGACAAAAAAAATTGTTATTTAGATTTTTACAAAACCTTGAAATGGCGCTTAGCATACACACTACATCGCGCATTGTTTTACTAGAATGGTTTTAAAAAGCTGGTGAAATATTAAACCAAAACGCGAATAAATACAAAAGAATAGAGGTATATAATATTACACGCAAAACGCTAAAGTGTATTTCACGGACTTCATAGTTCGTCTTATTTTATAGATATTTAGGTAATTATTTCTGGTACTTCGAAAAGCTTTGAAAAAAATGAATTTTCTTTTTCCTTTCACGGGACTTCTTCTCAATGTAAAACTCGACTCAAGGAAATAAAATAATGATAATAAATGTTTATTAAGGAGTATGATGATATCTATTTCACGGATTACGTAACAAGTTCTTTAACCGTGAACCATATTTAAGCAAAAAAAATGATTATTTTCCTTTCACGGGAATTCTTCTCAATCTAAAACTCGACTCCAGGAACTATAAAATAATGATGATAAATACTTATAAAGGATTATAATGATATCTATTTCACGGATTACGTGACGGGTTCATTATTTTCCTTTCACGGGAATTCTTCTCAATCTAAAACTCGACTCCAGGAACTATAAAATAATGATGATAAATACTTATAAAGGATTATAATGATATCTATTTCACGGATTACGTGACGGGTTCTTTAACCGTGAACCAAATTTAAGCATTCGGACTTTGATACCTTGAGATATGTCGGGTAGAGTTGATCTTGAATGAACTGTCTACATCCCCCACAAAGACTTTCGTAGTACAAAGCAATGGCTACTGGAGCAGYCTTTGGTGCAGWTGTAACAAAAATGGGACAAACCAACAGAATACTGCAGATTGCTAAGAAACTCATCTTCTTTCTTGTGTGATCTCTCAAGAAATAAGGTATCCAGATTTATAGCCGATTTAATATATAAGCAGAGGCCTGGATGTCGCGTGACAAGCTCGTGAGTACCATGTTACTGTCACGGGGGCTGTCACAAGGGATAGCCTTGCTTTGCTTAATGTACGGGCGCTGAAAGCTCTGACATATTTATTGTTTATTTGTTAGAAAGACATGATTTAATTTTATGAATTCGCTCGATCATGAATTTGAAACTGCTCGTTTTTAATTTGTTCATTTTAGTTCTCGTCTTCACAGTTTTAGCATGTTCATTAGATACACAGCCACAACTGAGACTAAATACAGTCAACTCAGTCGCCTTACGGACACCTCGATATTGCGGACGGTAAAATACCTGAATCCCCGGAGAAAAATACAAAGAAATGACTAAAAGTAACTCTCGTTACTACTGATTGTCGCTACTACGGCCACTAAATTACGGTCCCGAAGGTGTCCGTAATAGCGAGAGTTGACTACACGGGCTCCATGACTGCATGTACCTCGGCTCAGAGAGTAGAAATAGACAGCCAGAGCCTGTATTGAGTCAAAGATGAAGTTAGCAATATTTAGCACAAACCATTTATGATATCCACGGATCTAGTGTGCGATATAATTATATTCAGTTAAAAAATTATTTCAAACGCGTCCCCTTAAAAAATGCAGTACTCACACATTAAATTAAATCACTTGACAAAGGCATCTTAATGATGTCGAAACGTTTTATTTTTGAGTTACCTAACTAGGTAGTGTTAATTCTTATTTAAAAAAAAGTATTTATTTATCAATTACGT